GTGGCCGGAGCGATCGCCGGTGCCGGAGAAGGAGGTGGAAGAGGGTAAAAAAAGTCAACGAAAAATAAAACATCAAAAAGGGTTTAATGAAAAAAATCAAAGCCCCAGACAAAGAACAAGGGTTAGAGCTTACCTGGTGACCGGAGCGTTCGCCAGTGCCGGAGATGGAGAGCGGAGATCCGAGCTCGGGCAGAAAACGGGGGTAAGAGCCTCTCCTCCGATTTGAGCTTCAGGAGGGGCGCGAATATGGGAAAATATCTTCAGGGGGCGTTCCAGCACTTTTGAATTGGTTTTGGGGCTAACTGGCGGGGCTAACGTCCGTCACGTTTGCGTCGCACGCGGGAACGCCCCACCGCGTGCGAGTGGACAGGTGTCAGTCGCACGTCGTGTGGGGCGAAGCGCGGTGGGGCGGTGATGCGAACTCCCAAGTTGCACTCCCAGTCTCCCACCTATATGGAGCAGGCATGACGGCTGTATGATCATTGTTGGTTATTTTTCCCTGTAAAACTGCATTTGATTGGTAGTGGTGTCTGTTGCTGATTTTTGCTTTGACGGGAGCCGTTATTTCCCGCCACCTGCTTTGGCCGCTACCCGCCAAGATAGTGATGTAGTAGTAGGGTCCGCAGTCCGCACAACTTCACACCGGTTTCAATGGCTCTCCTTCGCCTTCGCGTACTTCAAGCCCCCGTAGCAGAAGATATTCATCTGGTTCTCCTTCTCTTCCTCTCTCTCGACTATGGCTCTCTTAACTTTGATTTCTTCTGCTCCGAGCTCGTTCTCCCTCTCTCTCCATCGTCCCCCTCGCACGATCAGACGCTTCTCACTCCCGATCGCTTCCCTTAGTTCATCATCGCCATCATCATCTCCGGAGTATAATCCCAGTGAAAGCGTCCCTTTCTCGACTTCTCTGGGCAAGAAGCCTTTTGTTGAACCCACTAGGCCACCGGATTCCAGCTTCAACTATGCGGTGGTAAATCCGAATAGTAACCCTGTTGTTCGACTTTCTCGCTCCACTGAGTCTACCATCGAGAGGGTAATGGCTTCTCTCACTTTCTCTCATTTCTCTTCAAGTTGGTAATTCGATTGGAGCAGGCCTGTGAAATGGTGATTTAAAGCAGAATTATTTTCTTATTCATACTTGTAATCTGGTTAACGTAAAGTCTTGCAATTGAATATCTTTCAGTAACTTGCCCAAGCCACGGTATGTTGGATTTATGTTCTTTTCTGTACACTAAATCTTTAGGTTGAACAACTGTCATCAGCTTGGTAAATCTTGTCAAAATGTTGGACTTTGTACATTAAGATATTGTTGTTGTTGTTGTTTTCCCCCTTTTCTTTTGGTATCTCACTGATGCAGGAGAATCTGCAGTTGATTCTATCAATCACATTAATTGAGCACCCAGAGATGCAGTGTTGAATGGTTGAACTATAGCTATATACAGTTAGTGATTTAATGCTCGAACAATAGAGACAGAAGATCATTTCCCACTTAAGCCTGTTTATTTATTTATTTTTTAACTGAGGTTCGCGGACACTGTCAAAAAGATGCTCCCTACATCTTGGCTAGTCAAACTTAATTCATATTCTATGGAAAACTATTGGTGTTTTCGGAATATAAAAATAGTTTTAAAATATAGATTTGATATTTCTATTTATATGAAATAATAGATTATTTCTAGATTTACAAGGCTCTCCTTTCAGTGTTACTGATAAAGAAACAGACTATTTCTACATTAATGGAACTATTACCTGACTGAAATGAAACCAACAAATTCTTACCAGGTTGTTGGCCATGCAAGTCCGGGCATCCTTTAAGGTATCTGTATGTAAATTTGTAGACATCACATTAGTAGGTTATAGTGTATCATTAATTTTGTGGAGTTTTTAGAAGGCTGATTCATTATATGTCAAATGGTGCAAAATTACTGATACTCAGCTACTAGATCCTTATATATGACTTATGGTATGCCCATAGAAATCTTTATTCTAAATGACTGAAACTATGTAATAAGCCCTTCCATTGTGTTCAACTCAACATGTTGAGAAGGACATGTTTGAGGTTAGAATCAAAATTGAGAGTGCAAAAGTATGGAATCTTCCGTTAACTTTTTATTCTATGTGAATATCCAAGTTGGAATATGCATCTTTGTAATCCACATTCATAAAAAATTGCAAGTTAACTAAACCACAAACTATGCATCTAGTCTTTGTTTTTCGACCCATTAGTACACTTTTTAAGATGCAGCTTAATGTTAGATTTGGCTGGGCTGATTTCCTTTCTTTCACATGATATTGAGTTTTTAACCATAAGCCTTTGAAGTCAAGTTCTAGACTCATATATATGGGTTGGGTCTTCAACCCTCCAAGTTTTTAGCAAGACCCCTACTCCAATATGCAACTTAAGGAGACTCAGTAAACTTGAGGCATAAACATGCAGAATACAGCTTAGGTGTACCTGTCTTGGCTGAAATTTTAAATCCTGGCCTTGACACTTTTTCCAGGATAGCAACATCCAGGATAGCAATATGGCCGAAGGGATTGCTAAGTGTTACTTTCCATCTTGAACATGTCATGTAGCCTGTCATGCACTATATTGTTAAAAGTTGACATATATGGGCATGTGGAATGGAATTAAAGCCATTCTCTCATGGAAGTGCCTTATAAACAATAATGCTATGGATGCAAGCTACATTGGGCAATGTGGTAGCTATTATGCTAGGCCATTCCTCTCCTTTGACAAATTCCTGTCTGAGACAGCCCTTTTAGAAGTTTTTTTAGGAGCATGGGTGGGAGGTTATATCCTAGATTGCATTTAACCGAAGTGGATGACATTCATGGAGGGGAAAATTCTAGGGGGCATAAATTTCCTTCTAAGTTCTGTGAGATTGAACAACTCATAGAGAGGTAACAAAGGAAGGGTGCTCCTGTCTAGTGGTTGTGGTGGTAAGGGAATATAAACAATATAATCATAATTGGGGGCATTGAAGGAGGGACATTAAAGAATTTCTCTAGTTATGATGTACTCCAATAGCCTGGAAGAGTGGGGGGAATGCAATTCAGGTGGAGTTCTGAAGGTCTATTAATTCTCATAGATAAGTAGGCAGGGCTTGGTTGGATAAAGTTATATCTGAATGTGCTCATATTAGGAATCAGTGTTGGAACTTGGAGGGTTTAAGCCACAGTACCTGTATATATCTGTATCTGGTATTTCTACTAGACCTCCTTTTCACATGTTGTAGAGGATGGACTGAGGGAGTARGTGACAATGAAAAWAATCCTCAAAGGGTCAGAGGTATCTGTTTCTTCTCAGGAATCCTTTTTTACATTTGGGGAACAGGAGGAGGTTATCAACTGAAATTGGTTAAGACTGACCTGATGGTTTTTGAAGATTTTGAAAATCACTAAAATGATTTATGTAAAAGGATTTGATTCTTCTCTATGGGGAGGGAGTGAYGCTCAATAATTTTATTGATTGAATGAGATAGATCTTCTAGAGCTTAAAGTCTAGAAGGCTCATGAAGAAGGTACTTGTTATGTGCCTTAGGAGAACTCCCCCCTAAAAGCTAGCTGTTAGAGGGAGGGAACCCAAGCACATATATACCCCACAACATCATCCCATTCTACCGATGTGGGATACCTCACATTAGCATCCCATACTACCAACATGGGACAAATGGATCGTAACATCCCACCATGCTTCCGCAGTCCTGGCGCCCATGCAGGCTGGCTTTGCACTAGTCCACCTAGTCCCTGCTGAACACTGCAATACCGGTGTCACCACCTGCGCCGCACGATTGCAACTGGGAGGCATAGTGTAGGTTCTGATACTATTTGTTATGTGCCTTAGGAGAACTCACCCCTAAAAGCTAGCTGTTAGAGGGAGGAAACCCAAGCACATATATACCCCACAACAGCATCCCATTCTACCGATGTGGGATACCTCACATTAGCATCCCATACTACCAACATTGGACAAATGGATCGTAACAGTACTAAATATTGCCTCCCTCTGTGGTGATGAGAGTTTGGTGACCGGTGATATGTTTGATTATCCTAACAAGTATTTGGTAGTTTCAACTTGAGTAGCCAGAACTTAAAGAGGTTCTGGAAAGGGTTTTTAAGAATGCACTGATATTGTTTTTTTAAGATGTTAGTACTTTATGGTACTTGTCAGTTGATTAAATCGTCCACACATTCTTCTTATACAAACTGAAGCCCATATACTGTCCACCCTTCCCAAGATTTCAGACAACTGTGTGACCAGCTTTAGGTTATCATCTTCATCTAAGCCCTGTCCCAACTGTATGGGGTCAGTTACTTGAATCCTGTTTTACCATTCCATTCTGTTCAGTGCCATATCAGTTGTTAAATTATGAGCACTTAAATCATTTCTTATCACTTCCACCCAAGTCCTTTTCAGTTTACCCTTAGCTCTTCTAGCTCCTTCAACTTATAACAGATTACTTTTTTTCTAACAGGTTCTGTAGATGGTCATCTATGCACGTGACCAAACCATCTCAACCTACTTTCTCTCATTTTATCACCTATTGGAGCTACTCCTAGGTGATAATGGCCTTAGATAAAAATGAAGTTCTTCTATATGTAGTTGATGCAGGAGCATCTGATGATGGCTACAATGGGTAGCCCTGAATCATGTGCAATGTGGCCATGAGAAATCAAAGACATTAATTAGGGTATCTTGTTCTTTCCAAAAGTAGTTAATCTATTAGCTTTTCCTAGGACTATTAAGAACGCAAGTGCTAGAACTTTAACTAGTCATTGGTAACTGTATTTGTTTTGGAGCCAGATTTTCCTTTTTTTTTGATCAATAACAGGAAATTTTCATTAATTGAAGATAAGATACAATAAAGCACCACAGAGAGAGATAAACTCTCTTAGCTCTCTCCGAGGTGATATCGAAATACATAACTTACAGCATAGCCCAGAACATCTGATCCCTTCCCACCCCTTTGCCAAAGTATCAGCAAAAGCATTTGCACTCATTTTTACCCGCTGCAGCTTGATCTCTATATTTTGAATTAAGCATTTGAACTTTCTTCTTTCATTAATAAAGTTCCACCAACCAATCTCTTCTCTTTGCAGCCRGTTTACTACCAACTTTGAATCCCCTTCAATAATCAATCTTCTAATGTTTAACTCCTTCACCTTTTGAATTCCTTCCATCACTGCCATGATTTCAGCCCTTAATGAATCTCCCACACCTATTGGGGCTGAGTATAGAGCAATAATTCTTCCCTCCTCATTCTGGAAAACACTTCTAATGCCTGAAGGACCCAGATTCCCCTCACTACTTCCATCGAAATTCAACTTAACAAACCACAAGGAGGTGGGAACCAAATCAACCTAATAACAGCTTTAGGGAGAGAACAATCTGCCACCTCCTTCCACTTTCTAAGCAAGTCATTTGTGGAATATCTTCAAAGCTGCTCAAGTACTTGACCCACTGGATTACTCTAATTGTAATGGCCTCAATGGTCGCTTCTCTACTTCCATGTCTGAAAAAAAACTCTTTGATTCCTCTCCTCCCATATTGTCCATCCAGCATACTGCTGCCCTTGTACACCTCCGCAGAATTCTCCCCCTTCTTTTCCTCCAACTAATAAAAGAAGAATTGAACAAGCCTTGTACATTTGGTGGGGGGTTCACCTGCACCCAAACAAAGAGAAAAACCATTCCCAAATAATAGAAAGTGTTGAGTTGGGCTTAGTTGTTTTTATTCTTACTTTAAGTTATTTAGTTAGGAAGTTGTTGGGCTTTAGGCCCATTAGTTTATGTTTTTAAGTTGTGACTGCTCAGCTACTTTAGTAGCCGCCCTACTAAGGGCATTCTTGTAATATCTCATCCTTTAAGTTAAGTATAAATTATAATGAGGGGTTGGCGGCTAGGGTTAATCTAAGAATCCTGGTTGACTTCCTACTCTTTTCTTCTTCTCTACTGTTGAAATCTTCATCTTTTTCTTCTTTCCTTTCACAAGGAATTCAACTAAATCTGCAGTCAGTGATTTCTACTTGG